GCCCTAAAATCCCAGAACACTCTTAGTAACCCTCAAAGGAACCTCAGAGAAACCCTGATAGTAACCCTTCAAGGAAGCCTAGAGTGGAAAGTTATAAGTAGTGTTATAAGTTCTTTAGTATGGGTTATAACTATAGTCATGCTTTTAACCTTACTTATACCTACCCATGAACCCAAGTAGAGCTTGAACCCGAATCCTCCAAAAGCCGCGAGAGAGAGAGCGGAGCTGCTAGACGCTCACAGCCTTTTTGCAAGGCGTACGGTTTGGGGTTTAGGGAAGGCGGCGATGAAAATCCGACGGATAACCTGGTTGCCGGGTCATGATCGGATGCCTCAGCGAAGCCACAAGAATAAACAAGATCGAAGCCTGAATAGCTACCAGCATTAGTCCTTAAGGTTCCTCATTTTTGCTACTCAGTTTTCGTAGATTATTCCCCAGAACTCTACTCTGAGCATTATTCCTGAGGGCCTCAGGGTTCCACATGATAGTTACTATAGTTATAACAGATCATTCCCAAGAACCCTCCTGTGGATGACTTCATTTACATGTGCCCTTCCTTGGCTTAAAGAGGGTCTACCTCGGAACTAGAAGGTACTACAAGGGCAGCAGAAGGGTGACTATGACTATGAGGGGTTACTATTGGCGAAGAATACATATCCAAGCATACCCAGAGACTCCAAAAACCCTTAGTTAAGGAATATATCTTAGATTATAACAGGATCCTGAACTGTAATATGATTTAAGGTAGTTTCCTTAACCAAAGGGGGTTTTAGTCTCTAGGTATAGCGGAAGAATCCATCTCCAGGCATAGAAACCAGGCCATGGCTTGGAGAAAGAAGCTTTCAATGGCTTTTAGCTAGCTGCCTTAATTATTTCCTCAGGGTCCGGAGCCCAGAGACTCCGAACCCCCCTTAGTCAAGGAAGATACCCTAAATCATATTAGGGGTCCTAGTACAGTTTAAGGTATATTACCAGGTATTTCCTTTTTGAAGGGATTTTGGCGTCTCTGGGAGCAACATTATACTATGTTTATAACAAGGACCTTTAAGGGATGATATTACTAAAGAGTTGGGGCACTTGATACTGGTACTTTCGGCGAACCAAGTTTCAAGTTTCACCAGCTGTGTGTTTCACTCTTTTCCAGTCGCGGCTCATGAGGGTTTAGGGTGTAGGGTCACAGAAGACAATGAATCCGCGCGAGCGCACAAAGGGCTCGGGGACAAGAGCGTTCCACTCCAACCCCTGAGGCACCCTGAACGGGACCTTACTAATTAGAATCGGGGTTACTTACAAGGGGTTTATAGGGTTTTAGTACAAGTGCCTAATAGTCTGAATATTGTTTTGGGCCCTTTTATACTTTACTTAGAATAAGGAATGGGGTTTTGGGGTGTATTGTACTATCCTTTTTCATTAGGAACTGGTAATTGCTAAGGCCCTGCCACAGCAGAAGTCACCCGATGAATCCGCCGGCTGGAGCAGCTCCTAGCTGGCCAACGACGACCAGCCTGGACCCGAAATCTCTCAGGAAAATGGGGCCAACAACGGCATGTTTAAGGCGGTCCCTGCGCAGCTACAGACCCCCAACATCTGCCATGCAGCTGGCGCAAATATTTTCAAGCTCCTGGAGGGTGGGCCTGCAAGGAACGATCGAGAGGCTGCTGCACACGATGTTGTATTGCATCGTACACACACACACGCACCTAACTACGTAATGTGTAGCAGTGAAACAGCATAATGCGCTGTTTTGCAGTACAATGTGATGCAATGCACTATCTTGTGCTGTAGCCCAATGTAATTTGGCACAAAGGTAAAGTAAAGTACAGCAAATGTTATGCAATGTAACAGAATGCAACCTAATGGATCCAGGGCAATGCACGTGCAACACACGAATGTTAGACAGTATGACTGGTGTGTATGCATGTTTGCATGTATGTAAGTATGCATCTGTGTATGCATGTATGTATGTAACTGTGTGTGTGTATGTTTTTTTGCGCTTGCTTGTTTGTTCCTTCGTTCGTTCGTTTGTTTTGTGTGTGTGTGTATGTTTACGTGCATGTGTGTGTGTGTGATGCAAGACATGTATGTGTGTTTGTACATATGTTCGATATGTATGTATGCATGCATAATGTATGTATGTATGTATGTATGTATGTATGTATGTATGTATGTATGTATGTATGTGTGTATGTATGTGCGTACATGCATTCACGGTGAGTGTATGCACATGTATACGTATGCATACCTGATGTATGTATGTATGTATGTATGTATGTATGTATGTATGTATGTACGGATGTATGCATGTATGTATGTATGTATGTATGTATGTATGTATGTATGCACGGATGTATGTCTGTCAGTCTGCCTGTCTGTCTGTCTGTCTGTCTGTCTGTCTGTATGTATGTATGTATGTATGTATGTATGTACATACACACATACATATGCATGAGTTTGGGAGGATTCCGGCTTGTCGTAAATCGGTGGAAAACATCCAAAAATCTTCCAGGGTCCTTCGAGGACGTAGAATTAAAGGGCCCACTCCATGCTCCTTCGACATCCCGCGCATGCTGCTGTGAGCCTTCCTCACAGGGCCTACATGCCATGGATGTTGCTTCAGTCAGTTGGGGAATGGGTGCTAGAAGTAGACTGTGTCAGGTTATGTATCTTAACATCCGAGAAGCCGCTGACACGTTGGGAGATGCGGCGGAAGAGAGTGAAGCGTGTGCGAGAGAGAGAGAGAGAGAGAGAGAGAGAGAGAGCGAGAGAGAGAGAGAGAGACTTTTTTTGACTTTGCATTCGCAGAACAATGTCTTGTCCCCTGCGCGGCTTAGCGC